CACCCACTGCATGTGACTCTCTCCTCTTGGCCCCAACTGGGGAGGCCACCGTCGTCTCCTGTGGAGAGAAGGAATCAGCACCCTGCTCAAGCCTTCAGGCCAAGCTTCCCTGGCCCACGCCAGTGGTTTCAGAGCTCACCATCTCCCTAGGATGTGGCTGTCCCAGAAATCTGCAGGCATTTCCCTTTGTTCTCCAGAGCTAAGGGCTGGGCATAAGCCTTAAAAGCTTTGGACCAGGGGAAGGGAGGGGTAGAGGATTGGAGATGGCATTTCTGGAAGAGGAGAGTGTTTCCCTTTTAAACCTCAAAGAGAGGCTCTCCCTCTAGACCCCACACAGGGTTTTGGCCCCCACCTCACCCTGTTTTCAAGGAACACAGAGCAGCCAAAGGGGTAGAATATCTCTCCCCACATTTCCATACTACCTCCAGGATTGCTCCAACAGTGAGAGCAGAGAGCCCAGCTCCTGTGCCCACATCCAAGTCCCTGCACAATCTAGGCACAACCTAGATTCCCACATGCCCAGTCCTCCCCTCCATGGGCCACCCCCACCCCATCCATTCAACCATCCCATAGCCACCAAGTACATTCCCACCTCTAAGCCTAAGCACCCAACTATCCATCCCCTGCCTGAAATACCATCAAGGACCAGCCCAAGCCTCACCTCTTCTGAAAAGCCTTTTCTGAAACATGCTGGATGAGAGCTGGTTCTCACCCCTAGAAGCCCATCTGGGAAATCCCCAGGGGCTTGTGGACTCCCAAGAAACAAGTCTGTGTTAGACCATAAGCTGGTGCCCTAGGTCTGCTGAAGGAGCATGTGAACGATAAAGGAACACACTTCTAAATTCCTGTTCTGCTCCCAGGGCACACAGGCTACCTTTGATTGCCATGGTCTTTGTATGCATATATAAAGGCATACAAAATATTAAAATTGAAGTTTCCAACAAGGTATGATAATTCCTGCATACCAAATCAGACCAAATGCAGAATTTACACAGGAAATGACCCAAAAAAGGTTCTTACATCAAGGATGGTTAAAGTACAGAGGACAGAGAAGACTTTATGAGGAGGCTAATTTTTGAGAACGCTGTCTTGTGAGCTCCATTCCCTTTCCTCCCCAAGGGGAGATTGGGGGTGCCTCGCCCCTCACCTTAAGCCTAGTGAGGGGTTCCAACTGCACTTGGAGAGCTTTTGTCACCCCTGCAGTTGTGGTCTGAATCCTGCCCAGGAAACCAAGTCGGTGACAGATGGGCTAACTGTTAGAGGCAGAGAGACGCTGATGTGCTAGATGAGCCCAAACCCCAGAATCTGTTGAGGCAATGAACACGTGAGTGTTGGCTGGGGTCCAGAGTGGGCATGTGGGAGAGAGAGGCAGAGTCTAAAGCTACAGGGAGCTGAATGAAGGTGGTAACTGGATTTGGAGGCACTGAAGAAGTCATAGCAACTGACCTCCTGAAATAGAGATGGCAGGAGGACCCTAAACAAGAGATCCCCAGCTCAAGGGGAGAGGATTTCCTGAGAATCCTCAAAACTGTGCATCAGAAAATGAAGAAGCCTACACCTTCTGCCAGGCTCAAAGAGTAGGAGCCAGTTGATGTGACGATGGCACCTGTTCCATTAAGCACTTTGGTACCCCTTTCCCACCTCCCTCTCTGCACTCCATTCCTGTAGGAGCTTGGAAGAGGAGAAGGGAATCCCACCAGAGGCCTTTCCAGGGGAACTTCAGCCCACCTGAAGCCATTCCTAGAGGGAGGCGGTCAGAAGATGTCATTCCAGATAAAGGTTGGAGGTTTGAATTATAACTAGTTTCTGAAATAAGACTGGGTTTCGTGAGGAAAAGTGACCATGGAATTATCTATTCCTCAAGAGCAAATGGAATGAACGTCTGTTGGCTGAGTTTCCTTCCGTGGGCAGGAAGAAAGCTTCTCCCACCAAATACATTGTAAAAGGGAGCAGCAGACAAAATTAAGTTGGGAGTTGATTGCACCCTGTGCATTGTGCTTATTCAACATGGCACGACATACTCAAGACATCTGCCAACAGGACTGAAAGCAGCCTGAGGGCAGAGCCCTGGCTCACAGGTGCATGTGCCCCGTGACTAAGCTTAGGAGGTTCCTATGCTTGGAAGTCAGGATCGAGGACCATGCAATGCCCTGCCCTGGAGAGGGGAGCGGGGTAGCCAGGTACCCAGGTGCTGGCTTGCAGAGAAGACCACAAAGCATGTCCCCACCCTCAATGACCCTCCGCCCAGTCAGGTTACACACACTTCACAGAGGAACTGAGAAAGGCCACTTCACTTTTCATTCTGAGACACTTCCCTCATTCCACGGGCTCCTGGGACATGCCACGACCATGCCACACTGCCCACACACTCCTAGGGAAGCAGAAAGCGTCTAGCCACAGCCCCCTCCCCATAGTTATGGCAACCAGATTACTCAGCCTAGCCCAGTCCTGAAGGGCCTGAGAACCCCAGGCTGCCTTAACTCACAGACTTAGAGCCCCCTCACACCACTAAAGGCCTTCTCCCCACCCCACCCCCTACCCTCAGAGCCTTCGTGTTCCCTTCCTGGGACCAGTCCCTCTGACTCTCACACTGGGCCAGCTCAGACCTTCCCCTCCCTGAAATAGGGGCCCCATATTGTTTTCCTAACCTGCCCAAGAAAATCCCTGGCTTCTGGTATCTGGGAGGACCAAAGCTGGGAAGCAGGCCCCAGTTTGGGAAGGAGCAGACACAGTGGAGACAGAGCTGCCAGGCAAAGAGTGCCTCCCCGCTTCCCCTGCACACAGGCAGGCAGCAGGGAGCTGGGCTGAGAGCAGCCAGCAGAAGCAGAAGTCAATCTGTTTGCCCCCAGGCCCCTGGGAGCAGAAGCTTCCAGTTCTCACTTGGGTCCAGGGGCTTTTTGTGACTGCCCCACAGCAGCTCAGGGGAGAGCAAGGCTTCATTGGGACAGGGCCAGGGCCAGGTGGGGAGGGGTGAAGGACATCCCAGTGCGGCAATAGTGGGGTGTCTGTGCTGGGAATAGGGGCCTGGATCATCTCTGCTTTTGGCCCTGCCTCAGCTCTGGGGCACAGTTTCTTCCCACTAAGGCCAGGACCAGGAGCAACAAACCCTGCTCTTCTTGGGGGCTTTGGGGAGGACAGACCCAAAGAAACTTCCCCCATCCAACAGCCCACCCTCTTCTCACATCCAGACCCTGAGCCTTAGCCCCAGCAGCCCAAGGACATAGGCTTGGGGCACACACTCCACCCTCAGGTTTGTTTATCCAGGCGGTTGTGTCAGCTGCCTGGCCAAGCCACATAGGCGCCTGGGTCCTGACAGACATAAACCAACCCATCCACCCTAGCAAAGCCCCCAGCAGCCCGGCCCCCGCCACCCCAGAGCCCCAGCAGCCCATGGCCCCTGCCACACTCACATCATCCCATTTGATGAAGCGCTCCCCTTGGCTCAGATAGGCCTTCACCTTGGGGGGCAGCAGGACAGGGTTGAGTAGAGACATTGTGCCAAGTTTCCCTCTTTGGAGAAGCTGGATAGGCAGAGATGGGCAGGAGGAATAAAAGGAGGGCTGGCAGGAGGAGAGCCAAGCTGGGCTCACATGGCACCCGCCCTGAGCTGGTCCGGAAGTCTGAGTGTTCCTACAGCCTGAGGGTGGCAGTGGCTGGGTGCAGAGCTGAGTGCTTCGGCCAGAGGCCCAACTGCCTTTTAAGTCAGCCTCCTCCCACCTGCCTACAGTGGGGGCCTGTGGTCACTGCTCCTGCCCTGGGAGGCCGGGCTCCCCTCCTCAAAGCCCCCGCCCTCACCCTGTGCCTCAGCACTTCCTGCTCAGGGCTTCCTTCCCTCTGCTGTTCAGGACTGTGCTGCGGGTCACAAGACCCGGTTGGCTTGGAGCAGGGGCCTCCCAGTCTCAAGGGTAGTCCCTTGTCAGAAGCTGCTGGGGGACTAGAGAAGGAACAATATGGAGCCAACAGGGATACTATTGCCCAGGTAGGGGCTGAGGGGAGGAAGCCAGGAGGTCACCAGGAGAAGGGACTTCCACAGAGGTAGGGTCCAAAGCATAGGGGTCTCTCGCAGAGCCTGAGGAGGCTGGAACCACCCTGGAGGTGGGAGTTGAGGGTGGGGCAGGGCCCAGGTAGGATTGAGTGTTTTGAATAAGCAAAGAACACCCAGCTCTTCTTTCTCAACGCTTCCTCCCCATGAAAATGAGGTGCAAGGGAGGCAATCACGCCCTCACCCACTGCATGTGACTCTCTCCTCTTGGCCCCCTCGGCCTAGCTGAGACCTGGAACCTCCACTGACCAGCTACCTCTCAACACACAGTTGCTTTGAGCGATCCTTGGCCACCAGCCTCCATTGGGCACTCTTGCCGAGTTCCCTCCTCTGCTCTGTGCCCAGGACCTGGGATGAGAACACTTGAGGCAGGAGGCTGTGTGGAGAGGCCTCAGCTCTGCCTACCTGCTCAGGGTGCATGGCCCTAACATGGCCTCGGCCTAGGGAGCTCAGTTCCGGCCCAGCTCAGCTAACCCACTTCCTCTTGCTTAACCTGATCTGCTTATCACCCTTGTTAATTCAACTGGGGGAGCAGGGAGCTCTGCCCAGGACTTCCTTCCCCTCACAGGGCCTGGCTTTCTGTCCCAGGTTCTACCATGAGCCTTTGTGCCACCCCCTGACAACTATGGGGCCCTCACTCAGGCCCTAGAGCTGTCTCTGCTGGCCAGCCTGGGCCAGGGCAGGGTGGGGGGGCTGAAGCTAAGGGGATTCCTAGCACAAAAATAACCCCTAGAAGAACAATTCTAAGGCCATTGGGGTAGAGCACGGAGCAAGGCCTGACTGAGCCTATGAAAGCAGCTTGGAAATCCTCCAGCTTCCTTGTCCTTTGCCCTCAGGACTCTTCTCTTCCCTCCCTCCACACCCTGCTGTCTCCCATCTCTCCTCCCCCATCCCTTCAGCTGTGGGCCCCTTTGGGGGCTCCTCTGGTGTCCCCTAGCAGTTCCAATCCCTTCCCTGAGATCAGGTTCCATCTGTCTGTTTGAATGGATTTTGCAAGGGAAATGCCTGCCCCTTTCCAAAGCCCCTGCACCTGTCACCTGCAGCCAGCCCTGGTCCTGCACCCAAGTTCCCCTCCCTCTTATCTGCCCTACAGCCATCAGCCTTCTCTCCTCTTTGGGCCTGGAAAGACAATCCACATCCCTTGGGCCTAGAGAGGGGAAGGGACAGGCTCCTCTCATTTCATAGGATTGGGGGTGACACAGGAAGGCAAGGAGTTCAGAATTCTTTACTCTGATCCTTTCAATCTCTGAAGGTTGAGGCTCTGAAGCCACAGAATAAATCCTCACCCATCTTTACCCAGTGATGGCACTACCTGAACCCAGTTCTTGAGACACCCCCCCCCCCCGACCTGCTGCCCCAGCTGTAGCTTCCATAGGACCTGTACTCTTCTGCTCACATCCTACAAAGCAGCCCTCAGAATGCAGGAAATCCACTCAGGGAGGGAAGCTGAGAAAACCTTCTTGAAAGAGGGCTTTTTTTTTCTTTTAGAAGTATACAGTTAGGTTTTAAAAAATGTGGGTTGACAATGAAAAATATTGTATAAATAATGGTATAATGGATATGGAGAGAATCAGGAGGACACATGAATACCCAACTTGGGAAACGTGCCTCTTAGGTCGAGCTGAGCAGAGCCAGTCCCCAGGCAGTCTGCCAATCTCACTCCCAGGGCAGAAGGTGGAAGGGCAAGGATGCCCCCTGCTGGGTTCACTGGAAAGCACTGTGCCTCCTGGGGAAAGGCTGGGATCCAGGGAAAGCAGACCCTTAGTTAGGGAAGTCGCTAGAGGGTCTGTGTCAGTTGTGATCTATGAAGATGCATATGCTGGAGAGTTTGGCATGTGTGAGCTTTGGGCTCTAGAAGACACTAAGAACCTACAGGCAACTTGCTGCTGTCTCCTAGGGAGATGCTGGTGGCCTGGGGTCTTGGAGGCAGTCAGGAATTCACTTGCTCACTTGGCAGCTTTGTGTGCAGACCTTGTGTTTTGGTCCCCCTTTCTGTTCATCAGAGAAGTTTAGTGGTAGAAATTGAACTCAGATCTTCAGGTGACCCAGTTACCAGCCAAACAAAAGAGTCAGCTTAGGTGGGTTTCTTACCTGATGCTATGATTTACCTGACAAAGCAGTAGGGTTCAGGAGCCTGGAGGCCTGTTGTAGGTCTTGGGCCAATGGCTAGCTTACTTTTGGAATGAAGAGGGCTCATTTGTTGCATTCTCTGGGGTCTGTTTCTCAGTCTGACCCAGGGAGCCACACTCACTGCTCTATGAACCCAGCTACTTACTAGCTGGTTTACCTTATGATACTTAACCTTCCTGTGCTTGAACTTTCTCACCGATAAAATGGGAATAATAATGCCTCAAGGGATGTTGTAAGGACTCAATAATATAATGGATGTAAAGTACTTAATACAGTGCCTGCACACAAGCTCAATACTATTATTATTGTTTTAGCAGACACTGACAGGAGAAATGCGGTTTTTTAGTACTTCCTCCTCAGTATGTATGCTACTGTTTCCATAACAAATATCTTCACTAACTTGTTCTTTGGAGGTTGTTTTCCAGCACTCTGTGTGAATCAGGGGCTGAGCCTACCTTCCCAGGGCAGACTGAGTTAGGGGTGCTCCTGGTTGTAGACTTAAAGCAGCAGACTGTCCCCCAAGTGGCAAAATTCATGAAGTGCCAACCTCTCACCACCTTTTCATCACCATAACCCCCACAGGTGACAAAGCAGGCATGGGAATGAGGTCCAGGAGCTGTCTATCAGTCTGGCCATATGTCCAGCAGTGGCTCCAGATCAAGCCATCCTCTGCACGCTGAGAGCTGATTGTGAATGGAGGCAGGGACAAGGCTGGGTAGCAGGTGCTGAGATTCTAATCCCTGAGGTATGAAAGGAGAGGCAATCAATAGTTCTCTCCAGGGCCGGCCAAGTGGCATGTTGGTTAAGAGCTGGCTTGGGACGCCAGCTCCAAGCAGCATGGTCCCAGTTCGGATCCCACATTAGGGCCAGCCCTCTACAGCTAAGATGGTGAACAGCTCAACCTGGAGCTGGGCTGCCGTGAGTCACCCGCGGCGGCGTAGGCTGCAGTGAGGCTGCACTCGGCTGCCGTAAAGCTACAGTGAGTGGCTGGCAGCCGGCATGAGCGGCCGTCAAGTGGCCGGCGATGGATCTGCCTCACCCAGGAAGAGCGCAATGATAATACCAACATGGGCCAGTGAAGTGACGTCCTCCACAACTAGACTGAAGAACAAAAAAAAAAGAATTATCTGCAGAAGCCCAGAGGAAGACGTTGCCTGTCTTCCCATGCCCAGCCCTTCTATAATCATAGAAGAAACCATCTGGGACTTAGAAGCAGAAAAGAATCAGTCCCATGTGTATTTCCCTTTGAAGTGTCATTTTGGATCAAACTTACCTGGAGTGAACTGAGTGAACACTAGATCCATCTTCAGGAAACCCAGATTTTAGTCTCAAGAGAAAAGGTTTGCTGTGTGATCTCGGCAAGTTACCTGACCTCTCTGATCTGTTAAGCTTTTGATCATTTTTAAGAGTCCTTCCAGCTCGAAAAATCCTTCTCTTTCCAACCTGAAGGGCCAATCCTGTCACTTTTATCTCCCATCGTTCCTCTGAGGGATGACAAACCTGGAGATTATAGCTATAGATGGCAGGAAAGGATTGGCCCCTATGCCAGCAGAGCATTCTTGGACACAGTACTCATCTTACTCTGCCTCTGTTTATCTATCTGTGAAGTGGGCCCATTTTCCTAAGTGTGATGAAAATAAGTTAGACGATGTCCTTCTCCAGGTGGGCATGGTACACTGCACATATGGAATGACCTCAGAACAGACTGATTGTTTCTATCCTTACGCCTGTCCTCATCCACCTTTCTATCAGGATCTGGGCAAAGCCACAATGAACAAGCCCCTCAACTTTGTGAATAGCATGAAGCCAGTGAGAACAGGAAATATGTTGGGAGACACATTCAGGAGCCCCAAACATCCTAACCTGCTGGAGTAACAGCTTGAACCTCAAAGGTGAAATGAACAGGGTTTAACTGAGAGATCTGGGCTTGGCTCCAAGGCACCAACTGTACAAGCACAAGGTGGGGAAGTGGTGGCTTAGCAGCACATGTGTGAATAAAACTGAGGGTTTTTGCTGACAGCCAGTTCCATGAGTCAAATAAAAAGGCTGCCAGAAAAGCTGATAGAGCCTTAGGCTACTGAATTGAAGTTGTGTACTGAGCCCAGTGATTCTCCATCTTGATATCAATCAGAATTGTCTGGTAACACTGTGTATTCAGACCCTCTGAATCAGGACCGGGGTGGGTGGATGGGCATAGGGGAAGGAAAGGGAGAAGTTTGGATTTCTAAAGAGTTTCACTTTTGGTTCCAGTGTGCAGCCAGGGCTCTAGAATCAAGGAAGACTTAGTCCCATTCTCATTCTCGACATGTCAGACCACATCTGATGTACTCTGGAACTTTGATTTAGTTGCTTTATTGTGGGGAAACACATAGCTGGAGGACATTTGGTGGCGGGCAGCTGGGATGTAGGATTCACGGAACACTCTGTGAGGACTGCTGAAGGGGACCATGGCATAGAAGACACAGGTGGCCAGGAAGTCTACCTTCAGATGGATGAGACTTGTTCTCTAAGGTCCCAAGATTAGAATCTTAGGTGACTGTCTTATGTCAGGTTTCTCGTCAAACATTGAGACAGAGATTTGCTTGCAAGAAGTATTTCGGGAGGTGCTCGCAAAAACAACACAACACATTTGAGGAAGTGGAGGAGTCAGGATTGAACGGAAGAAGAAATTGATCAGTGATGCAGCCACAACAAAGGAGGCCTCCACAGGGACCTCTGGGGTTGGGATGACCCTTCAGAGCTGGCCCCAACTGAAGTAAGAGGGCTGGACCTTTGAATCCTCACATTGACCAGGCAGGTTAACCCTAGGAAGGGCTCATGAAGTCAGGTAAGGCAGTTCCCTCTGGAAATGCCCAGGGAGAGACTTAGTTATTTAGTTATGAGCCATTAGCAGCCAGCATTCCTGGCAACTTGGAGATACGTTTCTTGGTCCCAAAGGCAGGATCTGGGTGGCGCACCACAGCACCAATGACGTACCTCCTTGGCACAGCTCCGACTTACTGGCTTCATTTGGTAAGCTCACTCGGCCTGGAAACAGCTTCACCACAATTCTGGGACAACTTTCTCTGGGACACTTACAGGAAGGTAAGTAGGAAGGAATATAGCCCCCATTACTGAAGCTTATCTTGGTGTCACAACTGATATTCACCATTCTCCGTACCCAATTACCTATTCTAGATTCTACCTTCAGCTTATACCTGTGCTGGTCTAGGTGGCTTACTTGTTGGCATTCCCGAGGGGTCTGAGCCCCTAATTACCATGCCCTTCTCAAACCAAGCTTCTGAATTTGTCCACTTACTATCAAAATTGGGCAAGGGAGTACCAAGAGACACCCAAGTGGATCAGCTGGGTGCCAAACTTATTCTCCCCTAACCAACTATGTAGCTGCAGCTCTATCTCTTCTAAAGGATCAGAGTCAAGCACCCCTGCCAGGAAGTGACTCCTTTCTTTGCCTGCTGGTCTCTTGGCACCAGGACAGAAAGCAGCCACACTGAATGTTTATGGGATTCTTGTTCTGTCCCTTGGTGGAAGGGTGCTGCCTCTGGAACGCAGATTCTCTAAACCCAGAGAGTCTGGAACTATATGAATGGGAACCACAAATTTCCCTCCCCCAAGGCTCACTGAGCGTGATGGTAAGTTATTCCTCCTTCCACCCCTCGTTTCCTAGACCTCTGCATGTTAGCTGTTGGGCCGTAGCAGCATATTATAGTTATTGAATAGGGTGCATACTTTATGCCGGAGCACGGAGTCCCATCATCTCTAAAATAGTGGTTTAGCTGCACTTTGGAAAAGCTGTTTTTTTACTTTATCAACTCTATTCACCAGTGGGCAACCAAGTATGAGATATACCCAGAAGAGTCCACGACCATGTACCCACTCTTTTGCTATAAAGTGGGACTCTTGGTTTGATGCAAAGTTATGTGAGGTCCCATGTCAGTGAATCAAACACTCTAAGCCCTCAGAGAATGGTGCTGGTCGAGGCCTTTAGTAGGAAAGAGAAATCCGCTTCTAGAATATATGCCCATTCGAGTCAAGATGAATCACCAACGGTTCTAGAGGAATTGCCTGATAGTTTGTTGTGAGACACATGAGACAAGGAATGGAAGTGCTTGGTATGGTGTCCGGCACATAATAAGGGTGTGGATGTTCCTGCTATTATAATTGGTCAGAACTTGCCAAAGCCTTAGAAACCTGCCACAGGGAGCAGACAGGTATACCATCATGGAGCGCCTTTTAGCTGACACTGGAGAGTGCTCCATAGGGGTGTTGTGTAGGAGATTCTAGGGTCGCGGAAGTGTTTACAAAAGATGACCTTTGGCGCCTGTTCTGTCCCCACAGTGACTTGATTCTCTGATTTCTCTGACTGCCTGCCTACCCTTAGTGGGGGAGAGGCACTTAGAGAAGTATATTCACTTTCGGGCCACTAGGGGGCCACTTAGTTGCCTGCACCAGGAATATACTAATGGTTTCTTAATGGCTCAGGCACCAGGGAGATTAGGCTCAATTATATCTGAAAGCAATTTGAGTTCCTAAGGTAAAAGACACTATGTAAATCCAGATAATAAATAGGGCTTATTGATGATAGGTTAAAGAATCTGGCACTGTTTAGTTTGGAGAAAAATAGAGTAGGAGAAATTGAATAATGGCTTCAAGTATATTTATTCTTTAGTATAGAAAAGTGACATGCTGTTTTCCCCAACTACTGAGAACCATGCAAGAAGAAAGAAGTTTAATTTGCAACAGAAGAAGTACACAGTGCATTCAAGAAAGAGGATATAAGGAGGCTTTGGGTTGGCCTTACCTGGAATCTTTCAGAATAATTCACCATGGCATAGTTGGTATGATCAGTCCTGCCAGGAGAGCCAGAGAGCAGGGGAGAGAAGAGAAGACAACATACAGAGGCAATTCAGGAGTTTTAACTTAACAAGCCACCCTGCTAGATGGGCTCTGGCTGACCTGGGAGGAGGACGGGAAAGGTGTGATTGTCTTTTTCTCCATCAGCCCACAGAAGACAATATACATTCCAAACTTCCAATGTCCTTGAAATTTCGCAGAAAGTAAAAAGTCAGGCTACTCCTGGAAATAGCATCCAGTTGGCCACTGCTAGCAGCTGACTCACACCTGGGACTCAGGAATGAGAGTGAGGGGCTGGGTTATACAGGCCTTTGGTTCCCTTGGCCATAGCACACTCAGCTCTGCTGGCTGCTTGACTTCTGTGTGGCTGAGGTGGCAGGGCAGCAGTGTGGGGGAGGGACTTCCTCATAAAGGGGCACCGCGTCTGGAAGCCAAAGGTTCCCGTAGAGGAGGAGGGGAAACGGGAAAGGCAGAGAGGGTCCTGCCCCACAGAGTCAGAAGCCAGGAGTCAGGCTCACATCGGTGGGGGCAGGACTGGGGAGGGGGGTTCACCCACTGAAGCCCATCAAAACCACAGTCCTCTCATCACACACTCTCACACAGGCCCAGTCTCCTATATCCATTGAAACACCCAGGCGATCCACACACCCAGCTCTGGGAACACAGGAAGTAGAATTCAAGGAGGAGGGAGTCGGAAATTCTGGAAAGCCTTGTAGAGAGGGAATGAGAAGAGAAGGCAGGAGAGAGGAGGGCATAAGGAGCAGCAAGGCACAGGGGAAGGCGGCTACTGAGAGATGGAGCTTGGAGAGGGTCGTCAGAACCGACCAGAGGGAGGACAAACCTCACGTGGAAAGGGGGGCGAGGAAACAACCGCCCTGGCTCTGACGCCCTGCGAGGATCAGAGAGGGGAAAAGCTCTGGGAGCCGCTCCACAGGTGCAGCGCAGCCCCTTGACCTGGGAGTTGGAAGCCCCCAAAAGAGGAACCTGAGACCTGTTGCAAACTTTGGCACGAGGGTGGGAGGCGAGTCTGGAAAACCAGCTGAGCGCGTGGTGCTGTCCGGGAAGCTCTGTAAGCTCTGAGCAGCCTGACTGGGGGCTCTAAATAGGACAAGGAATCGGGAAGATTTCCTCAGAGCCGCGAAGCCCGGGCGGGACCGGGAAGGGGGTGGGGCTGGCGGGAAAGGGGCGCAACCAGCTGTGACCACAGTGGGAGCTCCTGGTGCTTATCTGCCTACGCCCCAAGCTCGCTAGGTGTAAAAGGGTCTGGAAGACCCACCCGAAGGGTATGTGGAGCGGGGTGGTAGCCGAGAGGACGAGCGTGGTATCACCACCACTCTGGGGGTAAAGTGAGGGCTGGGGGGCCAAAGCCGCTGCTGCTATTCCACCTGTCACTTCAGACAGTCCTGGAAAGGAGAGGTGCCGGAGTTGACAGCTCCGCGCTGGGACGGCCCCTCCACGCCTCCCTTCCAGTTCTGCACTCCGCCCCGATCGACGCCTTTCCCCTTTTAAAGAAGCGCCAGGGCTCCCACCCTCGCCGAGCGAGCCCGCGCGGTGCGGCGGCGGCGTAGCCCTTTTAAGGACCAGCCTCCTTTAACTCTCTCGTAACGGGGCGTCCCGGCGGGGCTCGCGGCGCCCGACTGAAGCCCGCCTCCCTGCGCGGCACTTCCGGACCCTGGCGTCGCCCTTTTAAGAGGCAGCCCCCAGCAGCGCTCTCCCCCGCCCCTTGTTGCCGGCGCGCGAGGCGGGGGAGCCCGGCTGGAGCGGAGCGCGCTGTCCGCGCGGCCACTGGAGACCGGGCGGCCGGCGGCCGGGCAGGCGGCGGCAGCGGATGGGGACGCGGAGCCGGGCGGCTGTGGCTGTGGCGGCGGCTGGGAAGCAGCTGACGGGCCGGCGGCGGCGGCGGCGCTGGCGGCGGTGACTGGTCCAGGCCCCGGCGGCGGCTGCAGCGACGCGGTGGCGGGCTGCGAGCAGGCGGCGTGAGGAACGGCGGCGGAGCGCGAAGCGGCCGGGAACCGAGGGCGCCGGGCCGCCCCTTGCTCAGTCCTCGCTGGCCGTCAGGCCCCCTAAAGCCGGGGCCGTGGAGCACCGGGGCAAAGGCCGGGGCCCCCCAATGAAGGAGCGCGACGCGGCTCCGGCCGAGCGGGGCAAGCCGGCCACCTACACCGGGGACAAGAAGGCGAAGATGGCGGCCAAGACCAACAAGAAGTGGGTCCGGCTCGCCACCGTGTTCGCCTACGTGCTCTCCGTGTCGCTGGCCGCCATCGTGCTCGCCGTCTACTACAGCCTCATCTGGCAGCCGGTGGGCGCCGGGACCTCGGGGGGAGCCGCCGGCCCGCACCCCGGCGGCTCCAACGCCACTGGCCCGTCCGGGACTTCGGGGGCGACTGCAGCGGGGCCCAATGCCACCGGGTCGTCCAGCCGCGAGGCGCCGCGCGACGCGCCCCCGCTGCAGGCGGCGCGGGCCATGCCTCCCGAGCCCTCTGCCGACAACCCCCTGGCCGGGCCTCTGGAGCGGCCGCAGGGTCCCGAGGAGGACGACGAGGAAGCGGCGGCGGCGCCCGGGAGCCGTTGAACCCCACCACGCCAGAGGAGGCCGGGAACCATCCTCCTCAAGCCCGGAGGCTGGACTTTGCAGCAGGACGCGGCGGGGAGCCCGCGGGAGTGACCCTCACGGAAGTGAACGCCCCCTTTCCCCCCAGACGATCGCCGGCTCGCCCCAGGGGCGAGTAACCTGAAGCCCGATCTTCAGCCAAGGGACCACGATTCGCCAGGAACTCGGGGTTTGGTCTTCCCAAGATCGTGCTGCGGCGCCAGGGCCTTGAGCCATAAGGGGGGTGGGGGGGAGGGGTGGGGAGGTCCCAGCGCGGAACCCTTCTGCGCGGCTCGGCTCACCCTTGTGTATCCTACGTGCAGGGGTAACTCGGGCTTAACCCCCAAGACTCAGGGGAAGGAGGGAGCTGTAGGGGCTTTTAAATAAGCTGAAGCTCTCGAAAGGACGAGGGCACCAAAAGTAGTGGAGCTCAGGTACGTCAATCTAGTTGCAGTGGCCACAAATGCATTTAATTTATAGTTCCCTGTATATAGTTGTTGACATATGCACTAGAAGCTATAATTACATAGAACTATATATATCCTCCCACACCCTAGGTAGCTACTGACTGATGGGGTCAAGCAAGGGCTATTTGCTGGCCCCCAAAGTGCAGCTAGCAAGAGGGCACAAACACTTTTTTCCATCACCCCCCTCTTTCCCCTATTCCCTGTCCTGTTTCAAAAAGGTAGGTTTATGACACAAAAGAGTATAATCATTCTTAGACTTATTGAAAGGACAATGGAAACCCTTAGAAGAAAGTAGAAGCAGTTTAGAAAGGGTGCGGTGTGTGCTGATCCCCTCCTCTTCCCACCCTAGTGCCCCCACCCAAGAGGTTTCCTGTTGTAGCTAAGACTCTGGATATGGGCCAGGGAAGAAGGAAGGGAAAGAGCAATGCCTCTGCTTCAATCCTTGACCTTCTCCTCACAGTTCTATAGAAAGAGCAAGCTTTTGTAGGTAGAGTGACTCACAATTGTTTTATCTTTTTTTTTTTTCCTGCTCAAGATTTTGTCTTGTTCCAGTAATCACCCTAACTTGCTCTCGTTCCTGAACCTGCAGTGACATTGTAGCCCTGCGATTAGGATCAAACCAGAGTTGTGAGCACATCCTCTGGGTTTGAGTTGTATTATAGAGCAGTAAAGGCTAAAAGGTTCAAACTCAGGATTGTGCTTTGATAGCCAGTTAAGAGACCAGCCTGGGGAACGTTCAATTGGCTTGTCTTTACCTCTCTTGATAAACACTACTTATATGCAGCCTATACTTTTATTGAGATGAGTAACATCAAGGGAAATGACATACGTATAGCTAGCTCTGGGGCAGCAAGAATTATACGCCCTCAATTCAGATTCCATTTCCTTCTGCCACTTGCTTTTCGGCAATTGACTGTGGGTCGTGACAAGATATCAAACCCCTTAGTGTTTCCTTTTTGGGAAATGAGGCACTTTTTTTTTAAAACGACAAAAATGTATCCACCTGAGTCCTGAAACAGTTGTCTCTCCAGTTTTCTGGCCTGCACTCTAGTTAGCTTGGATCCAAGTTTATAGGGCAAACAGCCTTGCTTTAAGCCATGTCCTGTCATGGGCAAGATAGCAGCTGAGCTGTTATAGCCTAGGGGCAGGCTGGTAGCACCCGCAAGGTGTCTTGGCTGGAGAAGACTTCTGAGCAGCTTACTTGACTTTTGTCATCAGAAAGCCTCGGAGGCCTTTTTAAATTTTTGGTGGGAGCCTGGGGGGGGAAGAAACATAAAATGCCACTTTATAACTCCAGTAATAGCCTGTAATTTATATTTATTGTGTGAATTTGTAGTCCTATATTTTACTATTTGTAAATCGATCTTATTCCAAGAATCCTTTGAACTTGCAGGAGAACATCTGGGAGTCCATTCCCCTGTCCCCATCCTGACCCCTGCATTCTGGACTGTTTAATCCACCTTGGGATGGATCAAAGAGTCTAGAGAGAAACTTGTAGGTCCAGCTCCTGGCCTCCTGACTCTCTTCACTGGAATTGGGACATTAGCTCCAGCTCTAGCTGTGAACATGACCAGAGACATTATTTATAATTCAGCCATTTAAGATATACTTGTACTCAAAAAGTCTTGTATATTTTTTAAAAGTTTTATTTTTCAGGTGAACAAAAATACATTCTAAGAACTCTGTGTAAGCTTGTGTAAGTTGATCATTTCTCTTTTTGAACTTCTTGGGGAAGGAGTATAGAGGTTGGAAGAGGAAATGGTCGGAGATGTGGTAGATGGGTGGTGATGAATAGGTGTACGAGGAAAAAGCAATTGCCCTGGTGTTTTCTGTGCCGGATGGTTTGACTGAATTGATTAGTAAAGCGTGGCAGGAATCCATCTTAGTCAGGAAGCAATGGTGGGGTCGGAAGAACAGCAAATATCTAGCTTTAGGTTGAAAGAAGTTCTGCTTTTAAAGGACTCTGAACAGATGCCTAGCTGAGGAAGCTAAGAGACCAGTCAGCATGCATCTTAAGAATTATTACAACATTGAGCTGGCTAAGCGCTGAGGTGAGGATAAGCCGCCTGACAGCATAACAGTTCTCGCCTTTAAACCATTGGCCCCTTAGATAGCTCAAGAAGTGCTAACACTGGGAAAGACACACTGAGAAGCCTGCAGTGGTTGGTCAGAGCTTTGTCTACAGTGGAGGAGGCGAGAGAGCCATGAGGCTGAGAGAAGCTGTAGATTGCTTCAAAGGTGAGGCTTTTTCTACCCCTAAAGCAAACAATAAAAGACATGTGGGTGAAAAGCACAAATATAAGGGATTAGTTATGCTGCAAAATACATGGCAAACAACTGAGTTCAGCTTATTATTAGACAATGCTGCTCAGTACACACCAAGTGAGAAGCCAGTGTTGGTGGGGCCCCCTGAGGCCTGCACTTCTCCAGAGCTGTTGTGGGGGGGTGGCTGCTGCGCTTTTATATCACCTTGGAGCCTACAGGGGAGCGTGGAAAAAGTCCGCCCTTCTTTTATTTTCCTCTTCATCCTACACAATGGCTTTCTATGAGAGAGCTTGGTAAGGCGGAGCAGAAGGGGAAGGAAGGAGTTTCGAGGTTCTCCTAGTCAGCCCCTCCTTTCTGTAGATGGTGACATGTGGCTTCTGCAACTTTACATGGTGGGCACATAACAGCAGTGTGTGCAGCAGGAGCCTGTTGGCTGATGAGAAAGGCATTGTTCCACCGGAACAAGGCCCGGTTGGTAGGGAGCGGTGGTCAAAATGGATTTTTGCAAGGGTTAGAAATTAACTGCAAAATTGTCTTACCAGATTTTGAGCCAGAAAGTAGTCTGTGCAAAGGGGGTTCCTTTCCTGCAACTGCTTTGCACCTGCACCCCCAGAATCATTTCTAGGTGTTTGCATATATTAGAAGTTACTGCGTGCACCTATTCCTTGACAGCCTGAGTTTGAAGGAAGAGAGCCTAACCGAGTAGGTATCATTTCTCTCCCCTGTGGGTGCGGAGGTGCAAGGAAGTGTTTCTCTGAAGTTTTAAGCATAAGAAATATTTTTCCTCCAAAGAGCTCTAGATTTCTGAGTTGGTATGAGACCGTTTTCTGTCTACCTTGTTTTTTCAGTTTTCACTGGGGAATTCTAAGATGGTGTGTTCTTTAGTTGCGTATTTATATCCTGTTTTGAAATGCTGATTGGAGAGCATCTACTTGTTTCTACATGTTTCTTTAAGGGGAACTGAAAGGTCAGCTCTGGAGCTTTAGGGCTACCACAGCTATTTAAAAGGGGTAATAATTGCCCTCCCCTTCCTGTCTGGAGAGAATGGAGGTATTTCTGGAATTGCAGCGCAGTAACAAAAGGGCTACAGCTGTACTTTTTTTTTTTTTTATTGGTCTCCTTCCATGGAGGGATGGACCCTGACAGTGGCTTTGCTCATTTCACAATGCCTGGCACAATAGTAGGTGCTCTGTTTGCTGATCACCTGGTTGATCAGTGTGTTGGGTAGAATTGTCTCTCGTGTCATTATGGTAGCACTATCATAATCCACTGGTGAACCCACATCCACGGCCCATTATCTGGCTCAAGGGAGTGGACTGCTAAAGAGAACCCCTGCAAATCACAGCTGCACTGCTCATTCTGGCCACAGTCTTTTTATTTCCAAGTTGAGGGATTAGGGCTTGGCCTGCCTGTTCTTTCCAGGCACCAGAAGGCTGCAGCCATATTCCATGTGGTGCTTAATAGAATATATGACCCGTTCGTTGTCTTCTTTGTCCTGGCCTATGGTCTAATGTTGAGCTATAAATATACCTGCTCCATCGGCAGTCTTTTGGTCACATCTGTTTTACTTGCTGCATAGCCCGTGGATTTCTGCTGCCAGAAAACCTACGTTATGCTCTTTGTTCCCTCCAGTAGCTAATTTTAAAAATACAAAAACGAAAAGTTTTTTTTTTAACCACACACCCAGACTCTACCAAGCTCTCCATCCTACGTGCAGAAACAGCTGTGGCTTCCATGGTACACGTGAACCAACCTGGTCAGTAAGGAGCACTGGGCCAAACCAGTTTCTCTGTTCTACTCTATAAACATTTGTTAAGGTGCTATTAAAGGATCAGAAAATTACCACAGTTCTCACCCTCAAGGAATTTACAGTCATGCCAAGAAGAATTGACCCTTGTTACTGCGCGATTTTCTTAACTTCAGTAACCTGGTTTTGCAATAGTTTATCAGTTAAATAGCAACACGATTCTAACTTTCCTTAGAATATTTTTCCCTAAGCCACCACCGTTAATTCAAGAACTATTTATTTAGTGCATATAGTGTGTCAAGTCAGCCTCAGAAGTCCCCAAACCAGCTTGTCCAAATAAACACAATTATGTTGACTACCGAGGATTTCTTTTTAAATATACCTCTTTGATACCTCAGTGTTCTGAGTCATGAGTCGAGGTCTCCCTTGGCTGTGTCCTGGAGGCCACCTGCCCTCTCAGCTCCCTGCTGGTCAGTCTGGGCAGTGTTGTGTCACAACTGCCTGTCTCTGATCCGTAGACAGCTCACACCATCATGAGGGCCTGGGTGGGAAGCAGTGAATTCTTAGGAGGGACCCCTGAACTGGAAAATAGGAAATAAATCTGAGGACTCAATAATGGCATTGGTTATGGCGTTTGACCCCTCTCTTTCCTCCTAACCAAATGGGAATTCATGAGAGCAAATGGAGGTAATAGATGTGATGGGGCTTGGAGATCTTGGGAATAAAAGTACACACACATGAGGTAATATATTTTCAAGGGAATGTCTGTCCCTTTGGGCAAAATTGATGCATGGAAAGAAATGTGAAGGCAGGTAGTAAGCATTACACCAGCGCCCAGACCATCAACATCACTGGGAACTTGGTAGAAATGCCATGTCTTAGGCCCCATCCCAGACCAACTGAATGAGAAATGGAGCTCGGCATTGTGTTCTAACGAGTCTTTGAGGTCATCCTGATGCACACTGAACGTTGAGAACCACTGGCGGAGACTTTCCCTCTGATCCTGTAACTTAGGTTTAGGGACTTTCTGTTTTGACAGATAGTATCAAGGGGACTTTTTATCCTCTTTCTTGGTGGAAGCCAGCTGCCCTGCTGAGAGGAGAGGAAACACTGTGTCCTCAGAGTTTGTGAGAAAAGGGGGGAAAGCCTACATTGTTGGTTATTTTCGAGGGCTACAGGAGAACTTGCCCTGGAGAGCTTGTTAAGAAGGAGGCAGGCCTGAAAGTCCTCCCCCTCTTTCCCACAAAGGTACCGTGTTTGCCTCACCTCCCACCCTGGGGCGTGTTGCTCCTCCAGCCAGTCCTTAAAAGGAGCAGTGGGTGCCACATTTGTTCTTTCTGGTGCCAGGTCTGGGCTGTTTTACTTCCCCGGCGTCAAGTGGATGCTTAATGAGAGGCTGTGACGCGGGCCAGCAGACTTGAGAGAAAGCAGCCTCAGTCTGGGCCTTATGCTGTCTCTTCTCATTGCCTTTCCCAGCCTTGAGTTCTCCCCCTCAGTGAAGCTGTGGTCACCCAGTGTCAGCCCTTCCTTGTAAGCCCTGATAACCCTCACTCAAAAAGGCGTGCTTGCCAGAGTCTGTGGACACTGATAAATGACTTGAGAGTCAGAAATAAAGTGGCTGGTGTCCAGTTTTCTCCTATTCCCTTGACCACCCCCATTCCCACCCCACCTCAATTTAGTCCCAAAAATAAGATACGGGGATTTTGCCATTTTCTTTGTTTTGTGGTTCTTTTGGGGGGTGGGTGATGGGGTAGTACTATCTTTTCTTGTTACTCCTGTCTCTGAGGCTAGGGTTGGGACTGTGCCTTGTCAGGTAGCTGGGGAGCCCCTGCTTCCAGGGATCTCCAATTACCCATCCCTTTACCATAAGAAAATATAGTCATGCTGCTCCCTTGGGTGACAAAACTTAATATTAGGCGGCATGAAGAAAACTCCATAAAGGAGTTTGTTTGTGGGGAAAAGAGTAAAGAAGCAAAAACTGGTGGGAGTTCATGAGATTGCTGCTGATGTGAACAGAGGAAAAGAGGAACCACTCTGAGCTGTGGGAGCCAGTGTGTGAAGTTAGGGGAAAATGCTTAGGACACCCTTGTGATCCCACTTGGGGGGTGGGGACAGAACACTTCCTGTAAGAGCAGGGCCACTTCCTGAGGCTTTGACTCAACTAGACTCCCTGGGATTGAAGCAGCTCACGGTCCTAGAAGGTGGTAAACTTTACAAGTCATCCTTTGTTTCTCTGAAAATATACTAACCCCAGTGAAGATGAGACTGAGAAGTTAAAGGAAAAAACAGGAAACCAAATAGAGATCACATCAAATAGCTACTTCATTTATTCAACAAATATTTACTAAGTGCCTTTTGGGTGCCAGGCTACTGTTAAATTAAGTGCCTACTGTCATCAGGTACATTTTGCATAGTCTTGTGTCTAATTTCTGAACAACCCTTTAAGGTAGGTTTTACTAGACCCATGTTGCAGATAAGAAAACTGTGGCTTTTAGAGGTTAAAGCTGACTGAGTTCTCCCAGTTAGCAGATAGCAGACAGGATGCAGGTTTAGTCCGTCGGATTCTAAGGCCCGTGTTTGTTTCATTCTGCCATGCTGCCTGTCATAAAAAAAAAAAACCTCCCTTGCAATATGATCTGCTGCTCACCTCTGCAAGGTCTTATGGGCCCAGGACGGGGATGTCCTCTGCCTCTTCTGCTCTTCTTGTTTTGAGGCCTTAGGTAAAGCTGTCGTCTCCCTGCTGGCTCTCTATTATCGTGTGCGCCCTCTCTTCTCAGCTCCTCTAGCTCTGTGCCTGGATTCCTGATAGCAGTGTCTCATGAAGAACTTCCCACCTTTAAAGAGCAATCTAGTCTGGAGAGAAGAAGGGCATCCAAGAGGAAGGCTCCCAGGCCTTTAAACTGGAGCCAGGACGAGATACAGCCAGCCTTCCATGACCCTAAGGTTTGTGGAGGGGTGTCCAACCACGTTTCCCTCCTGCTCCATAGCTGGTTCCATCCTAGAGCAGGAGGGGTGGTCCTGTCTCTTGATCCTGAGGAGTTGCCCATTTTTGAGATAAGCTCAGTGATACTTGCCTTGCCCTACAATTTTCCTCCAGTGAAGACATTCTGTGCCAATCTCCATTCTCTGCAGCCCCTAGTGAGTCCCATGACATCCTTCATCCTAACATCAAAAAAGACAGAAGCCCTATCTCTCCATAGCCTTTCTGCCCAACTTTCTCTCCTGCTTAGGTCCCATTGTGAGGCCTGAACCAGAATTCGGCCCAAATTCTACATCCCCATCCCACAGTCAGACATGCCTTGGCTCATAACCTTGAATGAAGGCACACCTATACAGTTGGCAGTATAGGGAGTTGGAAGCAGTTTGTGAATCTTAGAATTCAAATTCTTGATCACAATTATTTCTGAGACATCTGCATTCAAGGGCTCTGCCCGAATCTGCTCTACCCTGGCTCTATCCTTTGGGAGACATGGGTTCCAGGGCCAGAGCCATGCTCTAAAGCCTAATGTGTGTGACTAGAAGACAAAAGAAAAACTTGAGCTGGGACTCTTACACCCTTTGCCTACTCATGTCTCACAGGAGTCTTCCTCTCATATACATAGGAATGTTCTTAAGCCTTTCCAAAAGCCCTCTTATCAGCTCCACACCAACATCTTCCACCCACTTTCACCTCATCCCATTACCACCCAGCTTTCTTACTCTCTTCTATAGGAAGTTGGTACCACCACTCACTGGCCTATCAAGCTTCTTCCCACGTGCCTCAGCTTCCCACCCAGCTCTGAAGCCAGGAAATCCCCACGCAGAGGGGCAGCGTGCCCCTATCCCCTACAAAGCCAGCAACCAGCAATGAGAGTCTAGAGACTATCTTTGCCCCCAGCCCTCCATATATGCTAGTCCAAACCCTTACTACTCAAAGTGTGCTTATCAGCAGCATAGGCATCACTGGGAGATGCATTAGACACGCAAACTCCCAGGTCCACCCAAGACCTACTAAATTACAATAGAATCTGCATTACTCTGCACCTTAACATGTGAGAAGCAGTGCTCTAAACAGTCTGATTCTGTCCTCATGCTTCCTGAATAAAGGGGTAGGGGGTGAAGAAGAGCCAATGAGGAAGCCCAGGCTGCAACCCCATGGTTAAGACCTCACTTTGACAGTGGAGATATCCTGGGGATGATCTGGACAATCCGTAGAGAACCTAGGGATGCTGGTGAGGCCTGGGGCCCTCAGCAGAGAGGAACAACCATGGCAGGACCAGAGAGGAGGGGAGCAGAGGGGGCCAAGCAGAGGGCTTGGGGGCAAAGGGTCACATGATGAGAAAGGGGGGGGCCACCTGCCTTTGTGAGCAGAGGTGGAATGGCTCCCTTTGGGCTCCTACCACCATCCCCAGCCCCTGTCGGGCACCGACAGCCAAAAACAGCTGCTGTGCAGCTTGGATCTGCAAGATGATTAGGTTTATTCCCTCCCTCTTGCTGGCAAAGTCACCATTGCCCACCGGCTGCATTGCTGGTAGTGGGTGCTCAGGAAATGTTTGTTGAATTGAGAGGAAGCCACAGCTTGTGCAGAGTCTGGATAATTTGCCAGACGTGGGCCTCAGGGGAGGGGCAGTAATGGAGACTTAAGTAGGAAGGACAAGTCCTAATGTCGTACTTAGCTGGAGTCACTGTTTTTCCTCTCTGAGTCCTTGCTTTTTCCTGACCATGGTGTAGGAGGTGGTGGGGAGAGGAAATAGGAGATGGCAGGAAATGACCCTGGGCTGCAGGGCTGCCCCCTGACCCCTATTCAGGGTATATTCAATGTCTGATCTGGGTGTAGAGGAGGGGGCCCCTGGTGGTAAGCTCTCCCACCCTACTGTGAAGAGAGGAGGCTATCCCCTCCCTGCCCAACCTCACCCCATTACAGAGAGGAGGACTTTCCAAGGAGCCTCCCTTTTGCAGAGGAGACCCGAACTCTGCTCTTCCATCCCAGCTCAGCTCCTGCCGGCTGTGGACTCCCTTTCTCTGGGCCTCAGCCTCCTCTTCTAGAAAGGCAGGAGGCTTCTAACTAATTGGTGAGATTCCCCTGCTTTGGCCACCCTGTGTGTCTGGGGCTGTGAGTCACCTGGGTGCAAGGCAGAGGCATGGGAAAGGACCCGGGCCTGGGCTGGGCATGCCAGCTGCTGAGGCTGCCTGCACCTGAGGAGTTGGCAGCTGGCCGCTGGAGAGGGAGGCCAGGCCATTCAAGTGCTAAGTGCTTCCTAGCCTTGCTCTCTCGCCACAGGGGGAAGCTTGCGACCTAGGCAGCAGGAGGCCCAGGACAGGGCTCACCAGCCTCAGAGACCAGGTGTGGCACAGGAATACACCAGGGGCTGTACCTGCCGGTGAAAACACATGTGCACAGGGATATGCACATGGGGTGCAGGGAAGGACAGCTCCTTGCCCTCATAATGTCACTGTGCCAGTTTGCCAAACTGCCACAAGCTACCAGCAACCAGATATCCACCATAAAGAAGGCTCTTGGCTGTGTTCTTCCCGCCACCTCTCCCCAGCCTGGCCCCCCTACTCAGCATCTCCCTGTAGGGCCAGGGCACCCTGTCCTGCTCCTCACACCCCCTGTGCCCCTTGCCCTGTGGCCGGTTCCTCTGTGGGGCCTGCTTCGCGGTGCCAGGCCTTGCTGGGTCCCAGCCTGGCCAGACCTGTCTTCTCTGGGCTCTAGGGGCCCTGCTTCTCTTTGTGGCTCAGAGCAAGTCTGGACTTCTGGCTCAGCCTGGGGATTGTTCCACCCCAGGGCCTGCTCGCAACCATCCGGCCAGGTCACAGGGCTCTCCTGGGCGCCAGGCCTTGGACTGAGAACACACACGCTCTTCCCAGGCCCAGGGCTGCCAGTGCCTCCTAGAGAGAGGTCAAGGGGAACCAAGCCAGTGTTTTGTGGAGAGTCAGGGACTGAACTGGCTGATGACGCTCCTGAATCCCCTTTTGGCCCCTTTGGGGATGCCGGGGCCAGGCTGGTTGCTGGGGCACTCGGGGGTCTATCCTGCTCCATCCTCCTCTGCGTCTGTGCATGTTCCTTCTCATTCAGAGTCTTGCTGGTGGTGCTTTGACTTCCCTGAAACAAGAGATTGGCCCTGCTGGCTGGCAAACCCAGGGCTCATGTCCCTACTCCACCCTACCCTTTGTCCAGGTACCCACCTCCTGGCTCTCTACCTCCTCCTTGCCTTCCTTTGTCCTGTAGCTGTCTTCCCACCTGTAGAAACACGTGGCAGCATGGCAGGCCCTCCCCACTTCACATCACCTGCACGGGAGAAGCTAGAGCCCTAGGGTCTCAAGAGCATCAGATCCAGAATGAGGCTCCAGGATGCCTCCCTTCCAGCCCACCTTGCTTCCCAAATCCAACCATTTTCCTCTAAACACCACTCTCCTTAGCCCCACCCCAGGTCCCCAGCTGCTGTTTATGGCCAAGCCTGTAGCACCTTGAGTTCTGTGGGGACTCCAGGCGTGGCCCTGCCTGCGCTGCCTGGGAAAGGCACCTGACTTCCCGGGGGAAGGTAACTGCTGTAATTACTGCTAGCCTCCCTGGGCACCAGGCTCTTGCTGCCGCTGCCTTTGCTGATGGCCTCTCCCCAGATCTCATTAACCTGCCACTAGGCAGCCATCAGCCAGAAGGCAGAGGCCTCCCTGGGCCAGGGTGGCGGGCAGAGCAGGCACCTGGACCAGTGCAGGTCCTGACCTTCCAGGGGCAAGACAGACCCGGAAATCAGGAGCCCAGATGCAAATCCCTTGATTTTGTCCCCTGCCATCTGTTACCTGCGGGCCCTGCCAGTCAGCCTTTCCGTCCCCCGGGCTTTGCTGTGTGCGGCTGGTGCCACCAAGGGTCTGTTAGGTTGCCCACCCCGAGTTGTACCACCTGCAAGAAATGGTCCGCAAATCAAGGAGAGAAGACGGCCTTAGCAGCCCAGCTCATGGGACTCCGCTCCTCCTCCTCTCCCAACTCACTTTTGCCATCAGGGGGCAGTGGTGGGGGCTGTAGCTTCCGGTGGCTCCTGGGAGCTAAGTGGGACAAAGGAAATGGGGCAAGGGTGGAGTGACAAAGGACCCAAGCAGGAACACCAGTTCTTCCAGGACCAGGAAGCTGTTGGTCCTTCCCTAGGTCCAGCTGTGGGTTTTCTGGCTCCCAAAAAAGAGCCCTGATCTGGAGGTCAGGGGAGCTGAGTCCCTGTGCTTGCTTTGCCACTCCTCGATAATTGTCTAGCCAGCCTCTCCAGCCCTAGCTTCCCCATGTGTAAAAGCTGTTATAGGAACAGAGCACTGAATTCTGGGGCCATTAATTCACAGAGCTCTGTTGCTATAACAATCCAGGGGCAGAGAAAATAGGACTTTCACCCATGAGGGACCAACAGCTCAGCAGGACCCCAACACAGGTTTCCTCATGAGTCTCCTCCCCAGACCTTCTGGGGTCAGAACCCCGGGTAGGAGATGTGGGTTTGGAGGGTGGGCAGGGAAGACATGGTACCCTCTTCTGACAGCAAGGGATAGGAAGGAAGATGTTCATCCATGCTTCCTTCCAACTCTGAAAATAAGTGGTAAACCAAGAGACAGAGAAAAGAGAGGAAGAAAGGGATGAAGGGTGAAAAAGCCAAGGAGGGGACAGGCTGGGGTAGGTGTTGGCTCACCTCTGGTGCTACCCGCCCTGCCCTGGCCCTCTTCCCGAGGCTTGCTGCAGTCCTGTAGCCTGTGGGGACAGAGAGACGGAGTCAGGCTGCTGGTGCGGGGAGGACAGGGGCTATAGCAAGACTCAGATTGACACCACCTCCCCCAAACCCAGCCCCAGAACTGAGGGCAGCAGGGAGATGGTGGGCTCAAGAAAGATGGGGGAACCAGTGCCCAAACAGAGCCCTGACCCAAAAGATGCAGTGTGGTGAGAGTCCCACTAGCCCTCCAAGAATCACCCACAGTTAGCCATACCCCAAGCCCACAAGCATGTCAGCCCAACAAACCACCCATCCCTGCCACCCACGTGGGCTTGTCCTTGTCCAGGTCCCACGGGCGGCGCCAGTCACCCTGTGCATCTCTGTGCCGGGCGAGGCGGGCCAGGTCTATCTGCTCCCGCTCCTGCTTCCACTGGGCATAGTCCCAGCCCACCTCCAGCGGCCCCCACACTGGCCGGTGGGGAGCTGGGCCTGGGACCAGGCCTGGACTCCGGGGTTCCCGAGCACCCTGCCAGAAGAAGACACTCAGCAACACAGGGTAGAACCAGAAAGAGCTATGGGCTTCGAATGGAAATCCAGAGTCTACTAACCCCTTCCTTTCTCAAGGTTTCAGTGTTCCCACCTAAAAATTAGATACGATCCATCTCTAATGTGCTGTTTACAATAAGCATGGTTTCCAGCCACTTGCTAGCTGTGTCTTTTGGGCAAGTTACTTAACCTTTCTGTATATCATTTCCTCATCTGTAAAATGGGATAATAATAGCACCTGTCCACAAGGTGGCTGCAGGGGTGTGTGGCCAGGCCCAGAATGCAGAGACACCCAGTGGCTGTGAGCAAGAGCCAGGATTAGGGGCTGCTGCCACCTAGAGGTCACACTTGGCACATGGCCAGTCCCCTACACCCTCCTGGCCACACCCAAGGCCCCCACCCACTTGCCACTAGCAGCGGTTCTCAACCTTCCTAATGCCGCGACTCCTTAATACAGTTCCTCATGTTGTGGTGACCCCCAACCATAAAATTATTTTCGTTGCTACTCTATAACTGTAATTTTGCTACTGTTATGAATCGTAATGTAAATATCTTTTTGTTTTCTGATGGTCTTAGGTGACCCCTGTGAAAGGGTCGTTCGACCCCCAAAGGGGTCGCGACCCACAGGTTGAGAACCGCTGCACTAGAGGTCCAGGTAGAGTAAGGGGCTGGATCACACCTCCGGCTTACCCTGTTTCTCACTGCAAGGCCCACCCAAAATGAAGACTGACCCAATAAAGGAAGAAGGGGTGGGAATTCTTGCTGGTGCTACCTAGGCATGTCCCCACAGATAGGGGGACATATGTGACTCAGCTTCTCAGCCTCTACCAAAAGGGAACTGCCACATTCATGTCCCTATCCCCTCTTGGAGATGTACCTTCCATGCAGAATCCACGCTGATGGCCATCTGCCTGGAGGGGTTCCAGCCAAAGCCCTCTCCAGGTGACCCTTCTCCCCCCTGGTTCCTTGTTCTGCTGGGCTTCTCACTTACAACCCGCTTGGCCTAGGGGAGGTGAGGATGGGCAGCATTGCAGAGCTGGGGAAGAGGAGGCTACCTGCCTGGTACCTGGGCTTCCCCCACTCGCCCTGCTCACCTTGGCTTTGTTTTCCATGGTTACCGCCAGCTCTACCCGCTCCTCCAGGCAGAAAGTACCAGTGAGGTCCTCTGCCTCCTCATTCTCGAGCATCTCATTGGCTGCTCCAGGTCCAAGGGCACTCCTTACCCAGTTACGGCTGACCACCCGCTTCTCCTGCAGAATGAGGTGCTGTGCCCTCAGTCCATGTGGGCAGCGCTGGGCAGGAGCCAGGGGCTGGGTCCTTTGCGTGGCCCCCCAGGCCGGGTGCCAGCCCTGAACTTCTCTGGAATGCCCACAGAGGAGCTGACTACAAAGGGCACTCACATGCCAGTGGCATTAGGTTATCCAAGGCCTGGGGCCATCCAGGGGCACAAGATGCCACAGTGACCCGTCATCTCTGAGCTGGGCCATCCAGAGGACTTGGACAGTGGGGCTTTGTCCCTCAGCCACTGTTTCTGGCAGTCAGCCCCACTTCTCTGTCCCCCTGGGCTTGGGGTTTAGGAGTAGCCAGTGCTATGGGGTATACGTCCAGGGTTGTGGGGCTAGACAAGGGTATGAGTGGGCTTCTATTTTATAACCTTTCAGCTGCGGCCCTTTGGGGGCTGGGGGACAGCAATGGCCGGGGCTGCATGGGGTTGAGAGCTGAGGGTGCGCCTCAGAACTGTAAAGGGGAGAAGCAGAGCAGGGGAAGTTGTCCTCCCCTGACACAGGCTGGACCTTGCCTGCAGAGCTGGCTCTCTTCTGTCCCCACCCTATCTCCCGGGTGGGGCTTACACCGGGAACCTGGCTGATGGTGACTGTGAGGCCATCAGGTCGGAGGATCTCCGGCGTGGTCACAGCCATGCCCCCCTGCTCTGCCTGCCGACGGTCTTCCTGGATCTCCTGTGGGAGGGCCCTGGGTCAGCACAGACCATGGCCCCCCAGACGCACAGAGACACAGACGCCAACAGGCCTACACAGAGAGACACCAGTGGGACACTAGGGGGCAAAGGCACCATATCACAGAGTCCCCAAGACCCTCACAGAGCCTCTGAGATGGACCACACCCACCCTAACCCTGTGCCCAGGCTAAGCCTGCAGGGAGAGACCACCACACAAGAGTCTGAGGGTCAGACAGGTAGTGCCAACCCAGTCGGTCCACCCGGCCCCAGGCACAGCCCACTCACCTGGTACCTGCGTAGTAAGGCCTGGTTCTTCTTGCGAAGGGCAACTATCCTCCGGTCCAGCTCTGCATCCTTCTCTTCCTGCTTGCTTATCGGGGATTGGGCCCCATGAGGCCCCTGCAGAGGGCAAAGGGCCTCAGATCCTGATTGCTGAGTCCATCCCTTACCAGTGCCCCAACTTTCCCGCCCAACCAGATTCTTACCACCCGAGAAACAGACCCCAGACCCAGAGCTAGAGTCACAAGGGTAAATGGCACATAGAAGGCCCAAAGCCCTCACCCCAGGAGGCCTGTCTGCCCATCTCTGCCTCCTCAAGGGCTCAGGTCAGGGCCTCATACCCAGACCCAAAGCTCCCAGCAGGGAGCTGCCCCTCCCCCCGGCTCTCCAGGGAGCTTCACTGCAAGCAGAGCCTGGAATGGGAGTTATAAATGGCTCTGGCAGCAGAACCTGCTGTGACTGGGAAGTTGCCAGGGGATTCAGGAGGTCGAGGAGGGAGCTGTTTGGCTCTCAGGCCCAGAACCACAGCAAAAAGAGAGGCCCCTGATCCGTCCTGAGCTCCCAGGCCCTGGACCCCACTCCCCAGGCCTGTGCCTAGCCTGTGGGAAAGAGCCGCTCCCAGGGGCCCAGCCCCTCCAGGCCTCAGGCTGCTGGCAGTGGGGACAGAAGAGAGCCAGCTCTGCAGGCAAGCCCAGGTCCCTCCCTGTCTGGCTGCAGGGTCTCCATTGTGACCAATGCCCCTGCCCAGCCCCTCCGCCCACCCGCCTAGGCACGGCCCTCTTCCTTCCAGGCCCAGCTGTCCCCAGATGCCCCCAGAGTATGGCTTCCTGGTGTCCCAACCCTTTCCTAGCCTCAAGAAGCCCTCTACCAAGCGCAAGGTGCCACTCACAGCCGAGTGCATGGCAACAGCGGGCACAGAGAGAATTCCAGAGCAGCCCTGGGGAGCCAGAGCAGAAGGGACGCTGGAGCCGCCGGAGCCGGGCTTCTGCTGGCCTCTCCCTGCCGGTTCCCTGCTCAGCACACGAGATCATGTTGTGATTACAAAAGACTCCTCTGGGCTCCCAGCCAGGAACGCAGCGGCCACTGCCCCCACCCATCCACTCTCAGAGGGCGAGGACCAAAGCACCGGCAGCCAGCTGGCCCTGCCCAACACCTCTCCCTGCCCTGCCCCAGCGTCCCCAGACAGACTGACAGACCTCTCCCTGGCAGAGGACCTGGCTGCCCCAGGCCCTGCTTACTCCAAGGCCCCGTGCCTCAGCAAAGCCCCAGCCCGCGCCTGCGTGCTGACAGATGGGCAGACAACGTAGGCCTTCGTCCCTCGCATGAGTAGAGAAAGGCCTGCAGGACACAGTCAGCCCATCGGGCTCCCTAGTCTGTGGGTCCCTACCTCAAACAAGCCTCCCTTCACTCTCCTCACCACCGCTGGTTTAAATAATTTGAAGGGATCAAGAAGCTCACCTGCCCTAGGACACTCAATACTACCACATACCTAAAATAACACAATTAGTCATTCATTCCTTTGGGTTGAACATTGTCTTCCCTGTATTTTAAAGTATAGCCACTCCTGTGAGGCTCAGCTGTTCAGATCTCCCCCTGGTGTGGGGTGCTGGCCCGTGCCACCACAGCTCACAGCTAGCCACCAGCCTTCCCCTCTAGGGCTCCTAACTCTGGGCCCTTCCTGGCCCTGCTCTCTAGGGCTGGCCCTTTCAGCTTCTCTGACCCAGAGAAAGGAAGCAGTCATTCTTGGGAACGTTTCTCCCCAAATCTTCCCTGTACAGCTACAGCTGGTCCCCCTGCCCAGCGAAACAGCTTGCGTGCGGTCTCACCCTGAGGGCCTCTGGGACCTGGGGTTTGGGATGCTGAGAAGAAGGATGGTGTCTGTCTGTATTAGGAGTACCTGGGATCTGTTTTAGTAATTACAGGGCCCCGATCTCTGGGACCTGAGGGGAGGGTCAGAGGTCCCTGCATTCCCCACATCCCTGATTGATCAGGCCTCAGTTTCCCTAATTCCATGCCATGACTTATCCCCTTCTGTCTCCAGAGCAAAAAGCCCCGCTGCCCTCTCTGTCCTCCCAGACCAGCCCAGGCGGCCAGAAGTACAACTTCTGCGCCCCTTGAGCCACCCTTTCCTGCCTGCCCTCCCCTGCCCACCACATTAAGCCTTTCTTTCCCGGTCAGGCTTTCACACAGCACCCCTGACCCTGTGCCCGATCCCCACAGCCCCAAGTTCCCATCCTGCTTGGAAATGCCATTGCTCTCTCTCTCTTCCTTTCCTGCCAGATGTTCCCACTGAGTCAGACTCATCTACTTTCCCAGCAACACCCAGACTCCTTGCACTGGGACTCTCCACCTTTCACCTTCCATATGTGCCACCCCACACAGGCTACTGAGTTCTAGCAAAGCCTCTGAAGGCTAGGGGCAGAGCCTTGGTGGGGTGGCAGTCAAGCTTCCCATCACCTGCCCACACCATGTCGTTATAGCTGGGAGGCCAGCAGAGCACCAGCCTGGGAGCGAGAGATGCAGCTGAGACCTAATCTCATCTGTCATCTTTGGAACCCAGGCTCCTAGATCGGGTCTGAGGAAGAGGAATGTAGACAGAAGAGACTGCAGGGGTGAGGCAAGCAAGGTTTGCCACCCCTCGTCCGCCATTCACAGCCAGAGTGAGGGCTGGACAGCAGCAGGGGAGCAGGAGGCACAGGTAGAAATCCAGCCATTCCATGAGGAGGGTGACCCAGCTCTTCTGGAAGGCCTGCCAGGAGAGAGCCCATTAACCTAGTGGAAAGGGCCTCCCAGCCTATCAGGCTGGAGACCCATGTGCCCAGGACAAACCAACAGTCAGGGCCCCACAGTTGCTGGCCATGTGCTTCCCAAGTGTTACTCACACAATATGTCTATCATACCTTGGAGCAGCCCCCACATTCTCCTATTTTCTCCAGCGTCTATGGTTTGCCTGTCTGTTCTCCCACTGGAGAGGGGCTCTCTGAGGGCAGAAATGGTGTGCCAAGTACCTCCAGGGCCTGGCACAGTGCCTTTGCAAACTACAGACCCTCCCACAGCGTTTGCAGGATGAATACATGATTGAATGACCCATGCCAATCCTGGGCATAACTGTGAGTATCCTGTGCATAGGCTGTAACTGCCTTTCTCTCACTCAGAAGCACGCAGCCCTGAGGGAGGTTCACCCCTAAGAGTGAACCCCCTTCCCTGTCTAGGGGAGGCGGGGAGATAAGTAAGTAGCGTGATGGTCCGGAAGAGACCTTGTCTCTGTTCACTCTATGCAACCACTAGGGGGCAGCAGAGTTACAAAGCCTGGTTTGACACGCGGGGCGAGGGGGTGGGGTGGGGGGGGAAGGGTTCTTCCCTTTCTCCCTTCCTCCTCCCCCAGCTCCCCTCCTTCTAGTCTTCGTCATCCCCACCTCCCATCCCCATCAGACTAGAGAAGCTACACAGTTGTAAAAGACGCATTTTATTGATGAAGAGGCCCAGAAAGGTAGCACCATCATCTGCCAAGGCTCCACAGACTGTTTGCAGCACAGATACTAGATGCCTACCTGTTCAGTGCTCTTCCTCCCCACCCAACCCCCATACCAGCTGCTCCCATACTTCACGGGTCCAGGTCACATCTCTTTCCTTTGGAAGGTATTCTTGGTCCATGGCACACAGACCCGGAGCCAGCTCTGAGGGCAAGGTAGCTGCAAGCCTAGGATTGTCACTGGGAAGGAAAGAGGAAGGTGGCCTGCAAGGGAGGAAAGACCCTCTGGACCACATGCTGAGACTGGGAGCACAGACCTGGCAGAGGCCCCACCCATGGGGCCCGCACTACTCAGACCCGTTCACTGTTTCCAGAACAGCTATCCCTGTGGATGGCTGATCATTAAATATAAGCACTCCAGCCTTTATCCTTCCTCAACCTTGCCATAAGGTGAGGCAGAGTGGGATGGCAGATTCTAAATTAGCTTCACCCCTCACTGGCTGTGTGACTTTAGGTAAATCCCTATGTCTCTGGTCCTCATCTGTAAAATGAGGTACATCTACTTCACTGACTCGTTGGCACATGAAATGAAATAACGTAGTAACATCCGGAACAACACGTGAGCCAGACTGAAGCTCAAAATAGTGTTTTCTTGCCTCGTGTAACCGTGATAGCCACCTTCTGGATGCTATCACCACAGCACCCTGTGAGGCACCCCAAAGGCTGCCTCCTCCCAGCCTGCTGGGTCATGAACACATTGCAGACTTCTAGGGTGTGGGGACCTTTTGTGACCTGGTAGGGGAGATCCTGAGGCAGTCCCTCAGCATCCTCTCTGTGCCTTCCTTCATAATGTCCCCTGCCCAGCAAATCTTGCGAGACCAGGCTCCTGCCCCACTCACTACGAGAGCCTTCCCTGCCTGCTCCCCTCCCCCGTGCCCTGCCCCTCTGAAGTCCCAGGCTCTGGCTCCCATCTCTCTCCAGCTAACACTGGTGCTCCTGGAAGCAATCCCTGTGCTTCACCTGCCTCTCTATCCCACCGGGCCTAGTTCCAGGTATACAGTGCCTGAGAACCATTCTTCTTGGCTGGGGCTGAGACCTCAGAGGTCTCTGGTGCCACTCGCCAGCTCTGGGTGGGTGCATGAGTATTGAGGAAGAGGGTGGGCAAGGATGGATTCCATGAGAGCCCAGCTACTAGGCAGGTGGCTCTCCAAATGGGAAGGGGCAAGAGGTTGGCTTAAAGCACAGTGTTCCCTTCCTACAAATCCACCCTCCCAGCCCTCCACCCCCACCCCTCCGGCCATTCCTGGATCAAGAAACTGTTGTCCTAACTCCTACTTACAAGAATATATACAGGCCTCTCAGGTCAGGCCAGGCCTGGCCCTGGGTGGGAAAGACTCAGAGTACATGAGGTAGGGCCCAGGGCCAGAAAGACCAGGCTCCAGCTGCCAGGGACAAAGTCTGGACCCTGCCTCTCCCAAGAACACACATGCCAGAGCAGGGCAGGGCTGAAGCCCTTTGAGGCATCACGAGGCAGAAGGAAGGTTGGTCTGGGGGCCCACTACCCCTCCATTTTGCCTTCCAGGGCACACCCAGGGCTGGGACCTCACCAGTTTTCTAGCTCTAGGCCCAACAGTGGGAGGTGAACCTTGGTAGGGAACTGAACCCCTGAGGTCTCCTTTGTTGGGGGCTCTCTTCACCCTGTTGGCTGAAAAAGTGGCTCCCAGTCTTTCCCAGGACCCCCCCCCCCATCCACCTGGTCCTGACCCCCACCAGAGCTGCCTACCCCAGAGGCCAAGTGCTGCCCCTGTTAGGGTTTGCCCGTGACAATAGCAGCCCCTACTGTGTGCTTCACCTGGCTGAGGCAATGAGAGAACAAAGAAGTGAAGACCCAGGCTCCACTTCACAGGCACTTGCCAATACCAGGCCAAGTTAGCCGAGGCAGCATAGGGCTTAGGCCAACTGAGAAGGAGTTTTCCAGGAGATCAGCTTTAAGGGGATGAGCAAGACTCAGCAAGGGGATGGTAGTGAGGGGGCATTCCAAGAATGTAGTATGGGAAGTGGTGTTGGCTCCTACCAGCAAGAGAACGTTAAGTTAGAAAGGTGCAGACCAGACCCAGGAGGCCACTGAAGGGCAGACCACCAGGGGTGGGGGTGTGTAAAGTGGTCCAGAGGGGTTCGCTGAAGGTTTTGCAGCAGGGGCCGAGGATTCCACACAGTGGTTTAGGAAGCTGAAGCCAAAAAGGGTCAGCCAGGTGAGACATGGGGAGGGGGGGCGAACAGCGCACAAATAAAAGGCTGTGCCCAGAACCTGGAGGGAGGGGTCTGGGCCAGGCAGAGCAGTGGGAGGTCCAGGAAAGAGTGAGCAGGAGGCCTCAGAGCATGGCAGGGGTGGGCACAGTGGAGAGGGAAGGGGCCAAGAGAGCATCAAGGACTCGGGCCTGGGGGTGCTCACAGATGTGGGGAGCAGGCCAGGCTTGCCTGTGTGTGCCAGGATGCTCCTTTCTCGGAGCAGGCAGAGAGGCTGGAAGGCTGGCATGGGACAGACAGGATCTCTCCTGC